CTTGGGGTCTCACCACACTTTTATCCTATGCCCCATCCAATTTATTAATTACACCGTAATCATGACGAGAGGAAATTCAATCCCCGAGTGATACGCAATGGCAAGCGTCAGACGAAAAGGAGGCACGCCAATGGAAAAAAAAGACGCGAGAAACAAATAGGAGTTTAATTGAATGTTGTTATTCGAGCTCTTGTATGGAGATTTGAGCTCTATTTGGAGATCTATTAGTGGCAGAATGGCGGCACAGGTTATCGCCACGTGAGATCCGACTGGCTGCAGTTTTCTCTCCATACATTTCGTGATAATCTCTGGGCGCTCTAACGAATTGGGCGCTGCCCATCTCGCTGCTCCTCTTTCAATTTTGAGGTTCACGAACCGTGGGAACGATACAAAATTGCAATTATGCACTTAAGCCACCAGTGAGGGATGATTTGTGCGCGGGAATGCAAAAGATCACCGGTTGCAGATGCCCGATCATACCATACACTTCATTAATTACTGTTGCAGTGCAAGGAAATGTTCCCACCCTGAAAAATTCACCCCGACCATGGCGGTAATCCATGAGAAAGAGACATTGTGGCAAATGGTCAAGACTCTGGTCAAACAGGAATCCATGGGAAGGGAACTTGCAAATCCCAGAACGACATCCAAAGGGTCACTTCTCATGCTGTCAGGTACGAGCTCCTCTCCATGGCATAAAGCACTCGAAGACACCACAGTGTCTTGAACCGGCCGGCGATCGGGTCACACTGATCCGCTCCAAGGGGTGCAATGTGTGTCCCATTGTCCCAAGGGTATTTAATTTGATTAATGATTTTCCCTGGATGCGAACGTTAGGTATTTATGATAATTTCATACCTTTACTTCCCTCTCGACAGACTTTCCATCCTCTGTGCATCTCATATGACTCCTGAGGAGGGGTTCGAAGAATGCACCTTCGAGGCAATTAAGGTGCGAAAATTGGTAAAGTCATGACGATATCTCACGCATGTTAGAGAAATGCTCTCGCTGAGATTTATTAATGGATTGAAAATTGATCTAATTGTGCAAGTCATCACGAATCCTTCCTCTTCTCTATGTCAATGAGCCGAGCGCGACTGTTGAAGAGTCATTAATCATGAGGAGGTCAACCGATTGATGTTGGAACTCGATATTACACCATCTTGACGACTATTGAGTGTCTGCGAGGCGAGCTAAACTTGCCAACGGCCAAATACTATTCACAAATACTTTTTTCCCTATTGACGAGACATCGAGAACGGGTATCACAACCCTTTTCTCGGGACAATCCTCACTGAAGGAATATGAATTATGCGCTAAATAAATAGTAAACTCGCTCTGTAGTCATCAAATTGGATTATTTTATCACGCTAGAGGGAATTTGAACGATTTTTCAGCAAAATCATCTAATATGTTGTCTTCAGAAGAAAAATCTATTCAGCTGCACGTCTCCCCAAATTATGTGCGCCTTTGATAGGTGAATGGATAAAATTCAACGAGAAATGCCAGCATTTGTGACACACAATTTCTCAGGGGTTGAATTTATGGAAATTATTCAATGTGTGTGACATCTTTCACGCCCTTTTGCCGTTGCATCGACCGATGGTCAGTGCTTTGGAGAAATTTCTCAGGCTTCTTCGCCATCCAGAAATTGCTCTGACCATCAGAAAACACTTTGGCTCAATGGTTGGAAAACGTAGTTTTGTGGCTGTCAAAACAATCATCTCTTCAATAAATAAATTTCTCGCATCGCTAAATTGTAAAATGCATCTCAAATGCGCCAATCATCCGTCTTCCCATCGATGCTGGAATCAATGAGCTTGCGCACCTCCAACAATATTCCCTCAATCTCCACTCCGCGATTTAATGGTGGTTCGAACGATTATGGTTGCAACACTCAATCATCATCATCATTTCAGTGTCATCGCACCGGCAAACCATTCCTTCTGTACGTGATTGTAATTTCCGAGAGGATGATCTGCGAACCCAAGCAAAGGTTCACAAATCAGGGATGATTTCCAAAGGATATTCTTTGTTTTCAAGTATTTGAAAGGTTTTCAACAGGTCCAAGATCTCCAAAAACAGAAGTTAATCTTCCGTTTAGGATTCTATCGTTCGATGTTTGATTAAATAAAGTCCACCTTTTTGCGTGAAAGAGGCTCAAGCCATATTTGTAATTTTGTTGAACATCTTCACATCCACACTGTGCCCAAACAGCAGAATTGGACAACAAAAGCGTCCGAACAGGGGAGAAATGTATACCTGTGGCAAAGGTATCGAATTTCCCCAGAGTTCTCTTTCTGAGCACCAGAAATTGCACCATAATAGTGACGATTTCTATGAGTAATAATATTTTCCCAGTGTAAATAGATATTGTCGTAAATTATGCTTAAAGCACGCATAATAATTAGTTGCGTTGTACGTGATGACGTGGAGGGAATATCAGATTCATCCTCCTCTTTGCATATGTGCCTCAGATGCGCAAAAAATGGTTAACCCAAATACGACACCGGTATCTCTTTCTGCGCCTTTTGTCACTGCGTCGAGCGTGCTAATCAGTTTAGTGTGGAATTTGAATAAAACACACATTGTCCCACTTGAGGCATGTGCTTAGTTTCGTCAAGCATTCATCTTGCATACGGAGAAAAGATGCAAATATTTGTCATCCGGCGAATCTTACCAGGGGCGCCTCTAAATCGGATCTTTTCGACTTTATGCTCTATTTGCGGAAAAGATGTCTCGAACCTGGATAAAATCTCTTGCTCTTTTGGCTTTTCCTTTAGTCTAACCGCCGCATATATTGAGAATTCAATAAGGTGCTTAAAGATTGTTCTCTCGGCACATCTGACCATCAAAGGGTGAGATGGAAATGTGGTCAGAAACATTCAATTGCGAGATCTTATTCCTAAACGCACTTTAGTGCTTGATGGTCAGTTTTTGGGATTTGCGAGGGCAAAAGCATGAAATTACACGCTCAACTCGGATCTCGGACGTGGAAAAAAGTGGTGGCAAACAATGGCTTGAGAGTCTAATTTAGGACCAACAAACGGTCAAGGTTAAACTATTAATGTGAAACAGTTTTGAGCCGCGACGGAGGGTTGGAGAGAAAGGACTGCGGAGGTACCCTTTTCGCCAGCCTCACAATGGAGGGTTAGTGGTGTTGTGAGTTCACCTCAGGTATTTGCATTGTTCTCGTAATTATCCTTCCCGAAAATTTAATATCCTGCGTGTAATAATATGCAACAGTATGTTTACAGTCGCTATTATGTGACACGCACACACGGAGCCCGAGAGAGCGAGGCTCGCAAGCGGGGTGCTGACAGTGAGACCAAACACACAATCCTATAATCTGATGAGGAGAGCGAGAGACTCCCCGGATTCGGAGACTCCGGGATGCGTGATGGTTTAAACATATGCGAAATGAAGATGGATTTAGGGTCGCAGGGCGCACAATTGCGCGTATATGTGGCAGCCCGCAGAGTCATTGTCCCTCTGCGCACTTTGATGGGAAAAAAGCAGCGAGTCCTTGTGCGGCGAAAGGTGGAAGTCTTCATGGAGATTAGCTTGCAAAATTCTTTTCTCATCACCAAAGTGTGAAGACAAGCTCTCGCGAGGTAAAAGTGCACACTCACCAAACTATCAATATATCCAAACATATCCCCTTTGATTAATTTACATAATCACCATTCCCACCACATTATGGGAACCATTCATCTCTCCACCTTTAATTGCTTAGATGTTGCTATATGGAGTCAATAATTTTGAGAGGGAATATTCACAATATATCCCCATAATGGTATGAATAATGTGTAAACAAACCGCCCACCTCACAAGTCTCTCTTTTTATCACGCCAGCGATGAATAAGCTTTCGGAAAGAATTCCATGAGGAGTTCCAATACATTCTCTGCCGGTCATTATTCATCCTCTCGCATAGCCAAATCCGCGGTGATTCCAAAATACCTCACAGATGTACAATATGTACTGTTAGAGAAAAATTAATAAAGGAGGAAAAAATTGTGACAAGACTTTTACGTTCGTCACTCGAAAGATACGCGGCATGAAACATGACAACCAACATCTGAATGCGCCACGAAGAATTCCTCTCTCGCATCTTCAGTCGATATTGTAATTTATTTTCCTCGGCAAAAAATCAATTGTATAACTCCGAATCTGAAGTGCATGGGGTCACAAAACACGCGTTTGTTGGGTCTGTTCATGGCAAAATGGAACAAACTTCTCCGGGAATTGCATGAAATCACTCACAATTGTCATATTTATTTAATAATTCTAAGACAAAGAAGACAAACGAGAAAGAATTGCTGGCTGTGTGTGTAAAAGGTATGAAATCTTAACCTAATTTTCAATAGTAATAGTGATAAATCTCTGCGTTAACACAAAATATACTCGCTTATTGATTCCACAGAGTCCAATAACTTTCATAAATTTACAACCCCATAAATAAACTTGACACGTTTAATTGTCTCGCGGAAAATTCTCTGGCAATTCCAAATATTTTCAAACCACAGCAATTCATAGAAACAACGAAACACCATATTGACAGCCGAATAGTGAGGAAGGAGCGCGAGTGAGATGATCATAATTCACAGATACTTTCCCATAAGAGCAATTGCCAGACCCTCTCTCGCGGTGGTACAAAACCGAGTCGACTCCAATCAAATTACAGTGGGAACTTTGCACTCTGGGAGAGGAAGAAGCTATTACTTGAAACATAATAATATTTTTGTTGTCAGTACACACTGAAGGGGCATCAATTCTGTACATCGCGCTGGCAAAGAGCAACATTGTCTTGTTGGTATAGCGCGAATTCACTGCCGTCCAAAAAGTCAAGAGGTCTCGACATGAGACTGATCGAAATTAATGACGAAATTGCTTGAGCACTATAGAGAGGATTGGATTTTTTCTCCCCCGCGAAATTGGCCACTTTTCGCGGATAAGAATTGCATTATGTGCGATGAGATATAAAAAGTCATTTTCTTACCTTCACGACGCATTCCCATTTTGAGGCACTTCCGTAATCTACAGTATTGGCATTGATTCCTATGGTGCTGATCGATGGGACAGGTTCGATTTCCTCGACAAGAATACGTTAAGTTGCGCCGGACCGATCGCTTGAAGAATGATTTACAACCTATGAGAAATGAAAGGAGAAAAAAAAACACCAATTAGAGTGCATCACAACTCCGTTTTCTGGGGCTTCTTCTGTGTTGCCCAACATGTCCTGGAAAACGTGACACGCAAGTATTGTTGGCAAAAGGGATGACAAAACCCTTCTTTCACACTCATTTGCATGACACAGAGTCACAGGCAAAAGAGGCAACTCGAAGCGAAGACGCGCTAAGATGATAAACATATTCAATCAATTAATTTGAAACGTCTTAAACTCAAATGGTGAGTGGCAAATGAAAACAGTCGAGCTGTGTGACTGTTTCCAAACTCAACAAATTGTTCTAATTGCTCAATAGGTTAAAACAATTAATCTTCACGCGGGACGCGTCAATGAATCATATATGCACATGATTATTACATTGTTGTGCCGACCCGCAAGAAAACTCTCATCTTCAGCCATCTCAAATGGGCCTATGAATTAGATTGGAGAGTGTCATGGAATATTTTCACGATACATTCGTATTTAGAGATGTTTTCGCAAAATGTCACACAGCGAGAACTCATGGGAAAGTTTTATCGAAGTTTATACGAACAATTACACCAAATTGTTCAAGCTTGAAATTTGTTGGAAGAAAAAATTTCACGAAAATTAAGATTTCACTGCTTGATGGAGCGATTTGAGCCGTAATCAAGCGTGACGATATCGGTGAGATATCAACGCCCCGCACAAGCGCGATCGCATGGTGAGAACCTCGTGGCGGCTCGCGGTTCTTTGATGATCTTGTTTCACCATTGGATTATGATCTGTGAGCTTTTCATTAATAACCAAATCATTTGGAGAGTGAATTACTGTGAGAACTTCCTGATAAATACGCATCTCTTCCGCCATGGAAATTGATTAGGCCGAAAATCATTCTCCCACATTCATCATTTGCGCTAGACTTTACATGTTGACGGCTTGGCAGCAGAATCTACCCCAGGAAGGAAAGTAGTAAAGTCGCCTTTCTTCGCTTCTCGCGAGTGCAACAATAAAGTGAAAAAGATGAAAGGCTCCTATTGTCAGGGTCATGAATTATTTTCCACTCGGTTGATGGCAAGATCTCACGTGGAGTGGTGCATTTTTCCGTGGAAATAGGCTGAGCGCAATCTCGGGCGTAAGATCAGCAGAGAAAAGTGCACAAGAGGGAGAGAAGAGGTGATCCAAACAGTGGATCAGGGCGAGAAATCTCGTGGTGATGGTACAAATGACGATGATGGTGTGTAATCCATTAATTGGACACACTCTTTGAATCCCTCACGTCAAAATGCCATAAGTTATAATGCAATTATGAGTGCGCGAGCAACTCAGCCATCATCGGACAGCCACATGATCCCCTCGACTGTTAAGGGAAATCACTTGCATATTTGAGAATCTTCCCATTCTTCGGCCGCGCGCAACCTTCCGTGTGAGATGTGAATTACACAATAGAAGCTAAAGTGTTATGTCTCATATTAAACGCCGAGTGGTTGGAACTTGTGTAAATTTGCTATGCACTTTTTGCACAGCGATTCGCCTGCGAAAATGCAGCATGAGAAGAATTCTCTCCTCAAAGACAAATCGCTGGCAGAATTTTCAAAGCCATTAGTCGCAAGATCTCATGCACAGGAACACACGAGAGGGAGAGAGAATTGAGATGAGAATGAAACATGAACTGATGGAGTTCCGATAGTGAATGAATATGAATAAGCTGTAATTATTTTATGACACACCGCAGCCCTTTTAGAGGTTAATCTCGCTTGTTGACGATGTGCCACAGTTTCTCCACCCGAAAGCCCAGAAAATTGCATGTTAAGTGAAATTAATGCTAACTGACACAGCTCGACTGTGGGGCAAACACACACCGGCAATTTAGCAATTTCCGACCGCACAGAAGCCCGTCTTCGGGGGCTCTTCCCTGGCGACGACACGGGCGCCCGAGGCTGTGCCCATTTCACACTCAGGTGCATGCGAGCGATGATTTGAGGTATGTTCATCACGACAGCGATAATTTCAGCCTCATATTGATCGGTAAATTTGTAATTTGACATTTTATTGTGCGATTTAGCAGCCTTGATTCGATTCACCAGCGAGAAGGTGACGCCACAGAGTCTATGGTAATTTGCTCATGAGCAAAACGGTCATACGTTAAACTGTATAGTTTTGATTTATTGCCATATTTATTAAATGTACTTGTTTCTCCGAAAAGAATTCATGGAAACGGAATGGTGGAAATAAAGAAAAGAAGGCTCAATTACACTAATTTCAGCATTTGAATGCGCGCAAAATCAGAAAATTCATGCAACTGAGCATCAAAATGATATGTTTAAAATTTGTGGAAGAAGTGAGAAGAGGAGAAAGAATGCAAATGAAGAATTTATAGGCAATGATTTCAAGATAGCTTTCACACACAGCGTACAGAATCCAAAAGCACTCCGAGCGATACTCAGCCGATATTAATGCTTAATGAAAGATGTCTTTTCCTGTGTGAAATATGAATATTACTTCCTCAATTTGATCGTGTATTTATTATTAAAATAATGGCTAATAGAGTCATTTGAAGAGATATATAAATCCACATGTAAATTCACCAACCGCTAAAGGTACTTTCAGGCACTGAACCGTGTAATTCCTCTAACCGTACAATTAAGTTTTCACCTAACCATAAATTACACCGTCGCTCCTAATTTCCACGTGATCTTGTGCGCTTGATAGAAAAATACCACATCTCTTCGCACCATTTCTTCGTGAAAACAAACCCTTGAACTTTCTATCGGCTCAACTCCAAAAATAAGATTTGATAGCCAATAAGCACGAACACCTGCTCAATTGACGGCGCGATATCAAATCAAAAATCCTTCACATTTCACCTCAATACAAAACGTTTTTCCATTAGGATGAAGATTTCATATCTCATGCGCGATAGTGCATTGCAATTTCCCTTCACAATTACATTCAGGAGAGGCTGGAATATCATTAAGTGAAACAAATGTCCGGCAATTTTGGATAATTCGTTCCTCAATTATCATTTTGTACAATTGCCGCGCGGAGATGGCTTCAGGGGTGGTCATCATACGGTAGCCCATCATCTTATTTCCGCACGTGACCACTTATTATGCCACATTCATCACATGGCGGATGAATAAACAAATATGCTCAACTTCTTTTGCCTCCGCCAATCGCAGGGTCTTCACAATCGATAACATCGTCTCGACTCTTGACCACTCTTAGCGCCTTCGCCCCTGAAAGGTGATCCTCATCTGGGCGGTGTGACAATATTTTGCCACCATAAATGGATTATGGAAAGTGCGCAAAGGTTCTCAATATATCGATGGCAGCCAAATCCCACTTCACTCCCGACTCTTGTGAAAACTGAGATTTTCCTCGTCGCATTTTCTCTGGTGCACACGAAGGGTTTCGGTGCGCCATTATGTGTCAAGAAGATTACATAAACGAAACATGGCTAAAAGAACAGTGCAATATGGAAAATTCATCGCAAAGTTTCAAGAAAATTTCACTAAGCCGCTGAGAATCTTGAAGACGATGCACTTGAAATTGTAATTGCATGCATAAACTGGCGGAGAGGAAAGTGAGTAAAATGGCAAATGCACTCTTCTTCTGGGTGATAAATCACACAAATATTCTGCAAATCAATTGCTGACAAAGGCAACACCGTTGCGGTAGATTTCGCGGGGCATTTGGAAATCCTTCGGCACTCAATTGCACGTCTGAGGGAATATTGTTTGGCGGATGGGAAGATGCAATGACGATGGCGCTCCGTTGGCGGTGGGAGGAATTCGGAATGGCCACAGCGCGGATGCGGGATTATTTATGAGCGAGGTCGAGCCCCTCGGTCACACAATATAATCACCATCATCGTATATCGCCAGAGAGTGTGCGGTAATGTACCGGAATACTTTGGCACGATTTTCGGAAAGAATTCCCGATCTGCCCTGCGAAACGTCTCCGCGCCCGCCAAGCCTGAATCCTTCGCTTGTCCCTGGGCGAACAATATCACACTGGGCGACAAGGAGTGAGTCCACAATTATATTCTCTCCCCTGTTGTGCGGAAGCATCGCCCAATTCACGATATGCTCAATTGTAATGTTACACACGCAGAAGAGGTAACACAATTTGAGAATTGAGAAAACACTTCAAGCCCAATTATCTGCCTAATAATGCGCATTTGTGGTGCGAGCAATTCAAAGTGAAACGACACACATTTAGCCAATTTTCCATTCCAGAAACATGATTCCTTCGGTTCAATTTATTCCTGCACTCACTGCGCTACCTCAGGTCGTCGCTGTGGTCCACCCTTTTACGGAAGTTTCGAAATTGAAAAATCGTGACCCGCGAACTGGAATATATAAGACTCTCTTCGATCCAACTATCGCGGCTCGTCTTCTCAAATGCCTTCCACTGTGCCACGAAGATCGTCTGAGAAATTGAGAATTTCATTTGTTCCTCGACAATTTCCCCCTTCGTGGACTCTCGCCAGGGCACAGCTATTGAAGTCGAAGCGAAAGACGAGCTTCCTGTTCTCTCCTAGTAACACTATTTGGGATGCATTTCACGCTTGCAAAAGAAGAAAATACTCAGCAGTAGATAAAAGAAATGCGGTTAAGGAAAAGGGGAGCAATTTTTCACTGCAAAATAAGGGTGTTTTTGTATGCATTTCAGCTACTAAATCAACTCAAATGCTGTCTGGAATGTTTGGTCAGCCTAGGAATCTCCACCAGCGCCAGCTTGCAGCGCCTCATCTCGCCGTCTTGTGAGAATTTCACAGACATCCAGCCGGTGGTCTCTGAAAGATCACCACATGACTCCCCCTCATTTAATTTTTGATTGCATAATTATTGCCAGCAAACAATGCAGGCGAAATACCATCGCGAAAGTGTAGCATAAGATCGAGTGCACTCCTTCAAAAACGATCTGCATGTCAGGCACAAATGCCTCATCTCTCCGTGCATTTGGATTTATTTGTATCTCCATTTTATTGGCATACGTACTTAATAACAATTGAAGCGCGATGTGTGTGAAAAATTTTCATTTTTATCATGCATTTTGTCTGTTATCAAGTGGTACGATCGCCGCACGATGCTCAGGCACAGAGAGAGGGAATGTGTGCTGCGCGGAGAATGCCAGGGAAGAAGCGAGGAAGAAAAAAAACTACAACCATACGCCCATTCGATAAAGTCGTGATCTTTTCCACAAGATCTTCCGTTAACGGTTTAATTACAATAAAAAAAGAAGTCTCAGGCAACGAGCAAGGAGAGAAAAATGACCAAAAAGATCTCCCGCGAGACTCTTGGGGGGAATAAGTCGAAATAAAATGAAATAATAATATCGATTCAATGATTATCCGTACGTTTTTTGTGGAAAGGGGCGAGTGAGAGCGCGCGATCTTGTACGATCGCCGAGATGATCGCATCACCATCATAGCATCACGTCAAAGCGCGCACTCCACTCTCGATCGGCCACGGCATGGGTGTATATGCGGTATCAAATAGCCGATGTACAATATCCGATCATGCCTTAGACTCTCTGGGTAATTCTTTCCTGGTGTCTGCCTGGCTCGTCTCTCGTGCGATGCACTCCCTCTCCACGTATTCCAATGTGCGCCTCACCGCGCGCCTTGAAGAATGGGAAAGAAGGAGGAGGAATGCGATTATATGGTTCGCGCGCGATGAAATATTGTCAAATTGTACTCCCACGCCATTTAATTTCCCATGACTGGGAGAATTAATAATTGCGATTTGCTGCAATTTTCCCCACCGATCACCTTATTTGCGCCTCACCCTCAGAGGCGCGCGAGGGTGCAATTTGCATTCAAGAGAGCCACGTGAAACTGGGAGGAAGTACTTGAGGATCGCCTCGTTATCAGGCGAGCACATCGATAGTGGCACGATCTCAACCAAAATGTATGCAAGAGCACTTATGGGTGGCTTGAAAATTCCCTATAAATATGCATGAGCGACTTGTGCAGGTTCCTGGACCACATCTTCACCCAGAGACCATGAGCGCCTCATTGTCCGGCAGTGCGCGTACACGAAAAAGGGCTGGTCACATTTGCATTTAAGATTCACCACTGAAGCTATGTAATTTCATTATTTGATTTATTAATTGTTGCCATCCTCCCGTACTTCGGGACATTCCATGCAAATTCATTGCCTCTCGACAGACGCGACAGGGACATTATTGGATTGTCGGAGTGATTTTTCACATGTGGCGAGAGATCAGTGGATGCAAATGTGTGATAATTGATCTGCAGGCGGTCCACATCTCTCTCTATGCTACAATTGCCAGCACACAATAATTGACATGCGAAATCGCCCTGAGAGACAGAAAATCTCTCCGCCCAGAAGTCCACACAATATGATAACAATATCACGATTCCTATTTTGCATCGTTAATCAATCCCTGCGCTCAATTCGGTTGGGAAAAAAAGAAGAGGATATTATTTCCGCATGAAATAATAAAAACACGACTCTAAACGTCTGGGGCTACCCTCAAAATCACGACTCGCATTATAATTTACTTTCCCATCGTCGTTTGCTATGCATTTTCAAGTTCAAGCATAAATTTGTGTCTCTTCCCGTAGGGAATATTGCTTTGCGGACTTTTCCTGATTAATTGCAGTCGAAAATGGAAATGACATCCACGACATGTTCCTTGGCAGAGACTTGTCCCTTCCCTTCGTCACATAGAACAGCACAATGTCTCTCATATATGCCAAAGGGGGCTGAATCATCACATTCTTCTCCGTTCGCGCTACTCATTGTGACGAACTTGTGCAAATCCCACCACCTTGGAGTCCTCGTCGAGGGTTGGATCGACGGAAAAGCCGGTAACGTTGCAGTTTTTCTTACATTTGCCAATTGTACAGGATCCTTAACCCTTTGACACTCAGGGCAAAAAAAAACGCCCAGAGATTCTCAAACCTTAATGGCTTTTATGAGTACAAAAAGAGGCTTTTAATAAACACATCACCCCTTTCGAACACTTTCATATCTGGCCATATTTACCAAATTAATCTCCGAGGCAGTGAAAAATATTAAAATTATACATCCTGTCTATCTTCCGGATCGTTTTATGCCAAGAGAGAGGACCGGTCAAATGTCAGAGGTGCTCATTAATCAGATGACTGACTGTGTCATAGTCGAATCTTCATTCAGAAAAAAGAGTTTAATAAGCTATTGCGACCGGTTTGACATGACTCTCCGCACGATGATCAATGGCTGACTGGACAATTGGGGAGGAAACGGGTTTCCCACCCAGAAATCTGGCGGGAAATCTGGCTTCCCAGAGAGCCAGACCAGCAGATATTGGAAATGTGGGAAAACACTCACCTTCACACGTGAACTGGCCATAGTGCTTCCCTGAGCTCTTATCACCGCAAACAACACACTCAATGTTCTGATTTGGTTTCACATCCACCGTCTGCGATGAGCTGCCGCCACTCTGGGAGCTGTTGGCCTGGGAATTTGGTGTGATGCTCTGCTGCACGAGCTCCTGCTTGGACGTCGGCACCAGCGGCCCGAGCGTGGTGAGCTCCTCCGACGCTGTGGTTACGGGGATGTGGCTGCCGAGATTGGGGTCGCGCCAGACACTTGGGGGCGGCGGCGCTACCAGGGCCATACTCCGCGGGAACCCCAGCTCCAGCGCGTTGATCTCGGATCCCTGGCCGCGTGGGTTGAAGAACCCGGTGGCTGTGGACGGCGATGGGCACAGGACGCCACCCCCGTACACACTTAGCGAGTTGTGTGTGATAATATTGCCGGTTTTGGCCCCCCAAAGCCGGGGCCGACACTCACCACTGAAATTTACCAATGCACCGAGGGGATGCTTGGGGGAGGGAGCGGGATCGCGCGTGAGAGTGCACCAATCAACAACAAGTCACAGATATCATATCCACACACAGGCAATGGCATCGGCCGGGGCTCAGTTCCCGATAACCACACTATCGCACATCAACTTCCGTGTCCGCCTGATTGAAAAGTACGTATGCCCGCTGAATAATTGATGCCCCAATCTGTATTTATGGCAATATGATTGCTGCCCTGCACAGCTGAGTTCGAATCACCAGGCGCGCGACCTTTGTGTGTTGAAAATACCGCGAACTACTTGTGTGACCTCTGATGTGTGTAGGAGATGCGACCCCAAGAGATCACGGTGACAAATGGTCAGACGCGATAGCAATTATCATGGCGCGGTAGTCCGCCGCCCGGAAGATAGCCACACACTCGAAAAGTATAACGTCCACGTCAATCAGAGCGCGCACTCACGGATTCACCAGTGTGTCTCATTGGAGCACGACGACAGAGGAAGTCGGTGAGCGCAAGACAGCTTCTCAAAAGGCCTTCTCAAGCCAGACTGGAGGAGCAGTGCAAAAGGTACGCGACCCGACCCGACTCGACCGCATCGAACCGACACCGACCTGCCCGTCCCTCTCGCTCGTTGCTTTCGTTTCAGTCATACTCACACCACTCGCCAGCCGAAGCCCACTTCCACTCCTCTCGCCAAGCAGCCAACCTCGCACTCGGGGCAGTCAGCGAGGCAGCATTTGTACGCCTCTGCTTATCTAATTCCCAAGCACTGGGGAGTTCGGCAGGAGGGAAAGTTGCTTAGCGACTTTGAGCTGGGAGTCGTGACTGTATCATGGCTCCGCCTCGATAGGTCTATTACGGGATTGGCCCGGGTGTTTACACTCCGCAGCACTCAAAGTTCGTTCCGTTTTCATGCTCTCTGGCAACACCACACATTACGCGCTATATACCGAGCGACGGGTGTCGAGTTCAGAAAGCACAGGCATGTACTTCGGGGCGACGGAGAGCGCGCAGAGAGAGAAAGTCGCCTGTGAATTTGCACGCTGAACTCTGGGGCATATCATCATCCGTGTGCCGAAGAGCGGGAGCAGTGCATAGAGCGCGCCAGTGCGGGCCATGGGTTAAACTGACGGGAGACGACGAGAGTTCAGTTCAGTTTGGCCCCAACCGTCAGCGCAAGATCAGGGGGCGCTGCCGCGCGCCGTCTCGCTCTGAGACGCCAACCAGAGACGGGGAGGGGGGAGAGCCGGTCTCTTCTTGGAGCTCGACCCCTAGGCCCTACCCACCTACCCCTGTGCGAAAAATCCCGCCAGCGCCCCGCATATTTGAGGTTGATAGATGGCCACACTATTGCCCAGTTCAGTTCAACGGACATAAATTGCGAGGCAGGGAACTAGCACACATTCTGCGGACCTCTTCAACTGATGAGGCCGTCATGTCACCACCGAGTCGCACTACCCCAGTTGCGCATGTCGAAAGGTCACCCCCACTTTCTTAGATGAGGTAACCAATCGGGGTTGAACGGGATTTATTGCCATTGAGTCGAAATGAACAGCGGACATATGGTGCTCCACATCCTGAGGGTCGGGTTGTACATAAGGCCACCCCGGGAGCAAAAAGGGCTCTCCATTGCGGCTAAAGACGGTGGAAATCTCTTTTGTGTGCCAAACAAAAATTACCTCTATTTGCAGTGCTTTCAATGGCAGAAAACCTCTGGGCGAGGGTGGAAAATGTCTCTTCATCGAAATGAAAAGAAATCCAAATGGCAGTGAAGCAATGAATATTCCAATAGAATTTCTAAAAAGAATTCACCTAACTTTTCCCACAGCAACGTTCATTCAATTCGCCTCCATTTATTTCTTATTCCAATTAAGGTAACAAATTAAAGAGATGAATAAGAGGATATAAACCTTTTTGATTTCAAAAATCTTTCCTTTATTCACCTGAAATATAGATTTAAAAAAAAAGAAATTCGATAATATAGTGAATTTACGTGCATTTCCTCTTTCTCAGGCCGATTACTCTTTGGCCATATAAAGACTTATTTTAACAAATATTCAATCACAACAGCAGTTATCGGACTTGGTTGGAGTATTTTTAGCTCAGATTCAAATTAGCAAGCAAGCCCAAAAGTCTACAACCTCATGTTATGGCTCATAAATTGCCGAAGCAACTTAATAAGATTGAAATATGATGGAGAGGAATGCCCATAAATCATGGTATAGGTGAGATTTGAAATTCTAATGCGAAATACAAGAAGATTTTGAGATATTTTTTGTCACGTCCGAAATATTCAAATGCTCGTGCCGGCGCCTTTTGAAATGCTGGTGGTCACTGACTATTTACACTGTGGGTGCCAAGACAGAAGCTGGAGAGGCTGTGGCACATCCCAAGCGACTCGGCTTATCTGTAATCTAATAGTAGCCAATAATGTGGAATTTATGGATGTGAAATTGTCGCTGAGACATTCCCAAAATTCTGCCACGCATTTTGATTGTGCCTGATTAGAATTTCAATTATTTATCTCCACCGAAATTTCACTTGCCATTGATTTACGTCTCCACATCTCTATCACAATGAATTAAGCGCTCGGGCATCCTGAGAGAGAGTGATTCATGGTGAGACTCCTCGTCTAACAATTCATAGCTCTCGTCCCTCCGCGAGATGACTTCTCTCTCGGGCATTGTGATGCCGTGTGGAGTTTATTTCTGGCCAGAGCGGCAACGGCAGCACATTCAAACAGCAAATATCTCAGCGTCTGACAACGCCTGAGATTCTAAATCTTTAACTTGTCACAGCGGGTTACAACCTACGTGAGGGAAAATAGTGCAGAGAGAGAGTGAATAAATTGATGTCTCTGCGCTGATTCGCGTCTGCATGCTGCAAGAGTCGCTGAGGAAAATATTTGCCGTCTATTTTGACAATTTAATTGTTTATGCTTGCATCGATGAGTGCTATATTGATCAAAGAGGAGCTCTTTTTTCTCCCGTTTCACACTGAGATTTATTAACCCTTCAAAACTGAAAAATCTCTATGGGAACACAGACGACGCGCGATGGAATAAGTCACGCTCACTTGAGGATTCAATCAAGCATTGATCCCTTTTTTGCTCAACTCTCCACTCGTGATCATGAGCCAAGAGAGGTTTTTCACTACAGCGCGCTTTATTCAATTAAGCCATCAAAGTGCGACGGATTATCTTGTGAACAACACACTAAGCGTGTTGATTCGGAAAAGCCCTCAATTTATTAAAAACTCATCAATTAGTGCCGCTAGATGACTATCAATGGTGTTCAGATGCAATTTTATAGGATTTTCAGGATCTCAGAGCGACTTTCAGCACAAAGGCCACTTTGTGTGCTCAAATGGAGGTGAATTATTGCAATTTTGTCACAGGATTTTTCATAATTTCATATTAAACCACACAGTTAAAGTGGTTGCGCTTCATTAAAATTGGATTTTCCTTTGAATCGCAGCGTATTTCATGAAGTTTCTCACGCAGAGATCAACAGAAGGACCTCCACAGGCGATTGGACAATGCAAGATGAATATCGAGTCCTTTGAGGCACAATGCAAGAAGGGATGATGAAACTGGTCAAGGTACAAGTTTGACATCCCTTTCTCAGCATCTCAGCACGACAAAAGGATGACTGACCCTTGGCGAAGATAAACACCTTTCGGATGCTGCTTCGGACACTTCAAACTGGGGTCGCAACATTCGAACTCATGCATCGAATTGACCTCTCCGGGTGATTTTGGTAGCAACATAATTTTGTGGACACGCTTCTGAGGTCACGGGCTATAAATTTCACGCGTCTCCAGAACCCAAATGAGGAAGTATCATGAGCCACAGCCACGGCGATCGAGCTGGACTGCCAATGATGATCAATTCAGATGGTGATTTATGGGCAGAGACATGCACTTCACACTTCATTCGAAGGAGTTAAACAGCCACAGAATTAAGCATTACTTTTTCACATGATCGTCGCATTGTTGAGGCCACACAAAACGCAACCATTTAACCTTATGGATGATGCCTCTGGTCTGGGCATTTCTCTTGACAGAGATTTCTGATTAAGATAAGTGGCCAAGAGCGACTCACCGTGGAACTTCACTTCCATTATCTCGCGCCCGAAACGCATTCACAGAACGACTCCATCCGCGAACATTTATAGCCCAACAATGGTCCCCTAACTGCTACTAATTTATCATTCTTTCTGCTTTGGCTGTTCCCGGAAAATTTCAGCACTTCATAAAAATCCTAATCTCACTGAGACACAGAAGAGTTGGTCACATTTTTAATTTAATTACAATGAGGCAAAAGTTGCTACGCAATTTGTAAGATAAGCAATGCGCAACTGTCTAATATTACCTCTTTATTCTAATGTTGCCGAAACTTCGAGGGAAATTGAGTTGATTACCGTGATTATTTGGCCCTTATCTGTTGTGGCCTTTCTTCCCTGCCACTCGCGACAACGTGAGAATTAACTCTCGTCTTTTGTTGGACATAAAAGAAAGGGTGTTCTCAAGCAAATACTTCTATGAACTCGTTAAAAGTTTAAGCATTTAATTGAGTTTGATGGGAGAATTCTTTGTACTTACCAACAATTCTCCAGAAATCTTCAGGAAGTCCATTCTTTGATACACAAGATACTTTTAAGGAAACATGAGAAGAAGCGCCAGAATTTTCATTACTGACTTTTTAATCAAACTTTGAAACATATTCGACAGAGAGATGACAAATAATATCAAAATTTCATTTTATTGTTTAGATAGTTTAGATCCCTAAATTGAGAACAAGGAATTTTTAATAGGCCTTTAGCAAGGATTGCTTGATTTTCTCGTGCTGTTTTAAAAAGAAAATGTAAAAAAAAAAATTACAAGAATTTTTTTTACGAATCTCTTTCAAAAAGTAGGTTATTTGATACGCAACTATTTGATACGCAACTATTTGAATCGGTGACATTTCTTTTAGTGCTTTGATTCATGTGATTGATAAGAAGCCTTACGGTGGTTGAAGAAGATCAGACCCTCAAGTTTCGAGACTTGTTCTATGAAATGCTGTCTCAT